GAAGACATTTGGGGACAGAATCTGATTGGCCGTCTTAAGACGGATTTCCTTGGAGAGGAGCTCACGAACAACAGCATCCACAGAAGGGATAGGAGATCGATAAAGGATGCCACCATGAATAGCCTCATACTAAGACGAGAGAGCCGTTAAGAACTACACTAAACGACCTTGCTCCCGAAACTCAACATAAGTGTCTACTGCCTTGAGGCTAGATGGTTACATGAAAGCCAACTGATCCCAGAGACCTGTCATCTCAATGTAGAAGTCCTGAATAGATTGATCCTGTTGACGAGCACTCTGAATAGCTGTTTTCAACTCATATCGCTTGATGAAGTTGGACTGTTGATACACACCTAATAAATAGTCCCACACTTCCTTGGCAGTATTGTATTTGGAAAATATCATTCCAACATGGTCATCCATAGAATTATGAAACAAGGTCAGAACTTGGGCATTATCACAACCCCAAGTGTCACAGGAAATCAAATATTCTTCTTGTTTCGGGTTCAATGGACGAGGAATAAACGTAGCCCTATTTTTTCTGACCAAAAAGAATATTCTTCATAACACTAGCCCAATAAGCATAATTGGCACCAGTGAATTTACATCAGATGGCTTGTGTTTTGGTGTCCGTCATTGTAATAAACCAAAGACTTACAGGTTGAAATATAATAAATAATAACAAGTAAGTGGGCCAAACTGTAAATAAGAGGTTTTAATCCAAATAAAAGTACTGAGGGCACAGATGGTCACTGTTACGAACAAAGGGAGATAGAAAGAGAAGGAACCAGGCAGACGATGCTGATGACGACGACGAGAACCGAGAGAGACGCGACGATCGATCGCGATTACGCAGCAGATGGGTCACGACAAGGTGTTGTGCTTGAATCGAGAGGCAGAGAGCTTTGGGTCGACTTTGAACAGTTTGCGAACCAGACGAAGAGAGCTCTGGGTCGGCTGCAAAGAGTCTTCAAACCAGACGAAGCTTTTGAGTCAGACGAAAAGCCAGACGGAGCAAACCTACTACGGCTGCTAGGGTTTCAAATCTTCAAGCTAGGGTTTTACACCAAGCTTTGATACCATGTAAGTAATTCTGAATGTTCTGTATATTCGACTTGTATATCAATTACATCAAGACTAGTTTATATAACCCTAACAACGAATCAAAAAGGAAATACAAGAATCCTAACGCCTAAACCAAAAAGGAAAATACGAGATTGACATGAAAACCTTGCCTAATATATACACAATCATGCCTAATATATACGATTATATTCTCACAGTTGCGTTACTAGCAATGGTTGCTACTAGAATGTAGATTCAACATTTTATGATTGAAGAGGACACGAGGGACCCTAATATGGGGGAGAGAATCTAAAAACTTTGTTATTGGAGTTTTGAATATTTTGAATATGAAAAATTAATTGGGTATGGAACATCGAAGTTTGATTGTGGGGAGCAAGGTTAAAGAAATGGAGGGGAAGTTCTGGTGAGACTGTGGAGGCCACGGAGGTGGTCTTGAGTCTTGATACATGACTTTGATCTAAGGGGGCATAATTGTCCTTTCATGGTTTTTATGATTAGTGAGCTGTGGAAGTGCAACACTTTTGAATATTATATAGACATAATATATCAGTATATTTGTGTATGCATGCATGCATCGTGCAGACATGCATGCTTGGAGATGGCAAAGTTACTAGACCCAATTATATTTGACCCAACTTGATTTTAATAGAAAAGGTTTAGGAGTGCATTGATAGGGTAGGGTCGAGTATAGCGGTAAGTGGGCCAAAATTGCTAGGGTTGGGGTAAAGTATGAAATTGTATCACTAAAGTAGTTGACTTTTAAACCAACAATTCACGCACGAAACCTGAAAAAATCTAACCCGTTGCAACCCTAAAAGTTTGAAAAAACCTCAATATTATAGTAGTAATTTGTTACATAGTCCCAAAACTATAAGATTTAACTACAGAGTTTGCACCCCTAAATAACTTATATAAAAGACTTTAAAATTAATTTTCTAATCAAGTTTACCAAATATTAGTCCCTGTCTATGTTTATTTTTGCCTTGGAACCTTTTTTGTTTAATATTTGTGCTATTGATTATGTATGGGGTGTGTGTGTACTTTATCTTGATTTGCTTTTATTCTTTTATTTAAAATTGAATTCGAGATTTCAATTAAAGAACTGTTCTCACTTCAATTAACTCAATAATCTCGCATTTCCTTGGTTCAATCCATTGAAAATACTGTTATTTTAAGAAAGAAATCTCATTATTCAAATAATAACCAAACCAAACCAAACCAAGCTTTAAGTCCCATCAAATGGGGTCGGCTGCATGAATCATTCTTCTTCACTCGACTCTATCTAAGGCCATTTCGTTAGTCAAATTAAGGAGACTCATATCTCTATTTACTACACTAGTCCACGTCAATTTAGGTTTACCCCTTCTCGTAACACTACCATCTACCGTTATTATATCGTATCTCTTCACTACTGCCTCTGTTGGTCTCCATTGTATATGACTAAACCATCTCAATCTATTCTCTCTCAATTTATCTTCTATTGATACTACTACTCCTACCCATTCTCGAATATACTCATTCCTAACTCAGTCTTTTCTAAACTTGCCAACACATCCAACTTAGCATCCTCATCTCAGCAGCATTCATCTTCTACACATGTTGTTTCTTGGTTGCCCAACATTCTATCCCATACAACAGCATTGGTCTAATAGTCGTTCTATAAAACTTTCCTTTTAGTCTAATGGGTATTTGTTTATCTTACAGTACTTCAAACACATTCCTCTACTTAAGCCACCCCGCCTTAATTCTGTGGACCACATCCACTCCAATCTCCCCAGTTGTTGTGATAATCGATCCTAAAACCAAACCAAGCCTTAAGTCCCATCAAATGGGGTCAGTTGTGACAATCGATCATAAATAACGAAAATATTCACTTTTAGGTAGTTCTTGATTCTCAATCTTCACTTCTCCTCTGCTTTCATTGTAGTTGTTACTAAAATTACAATCTATATCTGCTTATCCTAAATCTTTTAGATTCAAGTGCTTTTCTCCAAATCTCCAACTTAGTGTTAACTCCTTCTCTAATCTTATCCGCTAACACGATATCATCTGCAAAAAGCATACATCATGGCACATCATCCTGAATATTTGCCGCTAACTCATCCATAACTAAAGCAAAAAGATAAGGATTTAAGGTTGATCTTTGGTGTAACCCTACAGAAATTGAAAATTCACTCGTCTCTCTAGCAGGCGACCTGATAGTGGTCAACACACCTTCATACATATCCCTAATCACATCAATGTAACCTTTTGTCACCCCTTTCTCTAACACCCACCAGATTATATCCTGAGACACTCTATAATATGTTTTCTCAAAATCGAGAAAAACCGTACGAATGTCTCTTCTCTTTTCTTTCCTTTATACTTTTCTATTACTCTCTTCAAAAGATAGATCACTTCCATTGTTGACCTACCAGACATAAACCCAAATTGATTCTCTGACACCTCTGTTATATCTCGCAATCAACGTTCCATCACTCTCTCCCACACTTTCATTATGTGACACATTAATTTGATTCCTTTGTAGTTGTTACAATTCCGGACATCTCCTTTATTTTTAGAGTAAACTATCAATAGGTCTTAATAGTTGGACTTAATTTTCATCAAGCCCTATTGAAAATAAGTCTTGGTAAAATTGTTGTTAAAAATAATTTTTTTGTGATCAATTTTTTATATATGTTGCTAAAAATTGACAATTAGTGACTTTTTTTATCATGATTTTTATAAATTGTCGCTAAAACTTACAATTAGTGACTTTTTTTTTGGACAAATTTTTCCCATAAAACCTATTAGACAATAAGTCTATTTATTAGGACCTACACATAAGTATTTATTAGGACCTACACATAAGCACCCCTTATTCTTATATATTCATTATTCAAATAATAAAAATACATTTTCATTGATAGAATTTAACAAAACATTCCTTTTAAGAAGAACATCTCGAGTAACAATTGCATTGAACAAAGGTTTGAGCGAGGTGATGGTCCGGAAGGAACTTTCTTAGTTAAGTCCCATCATTCTTGGATTGTTGGAGAGATGAGAAACCCTAATCCGTCATAGATTGTTTGGAAAACTTGGGTACTAACAAAGTGGTGTTTTTGTCTTTACAACTGTTTAGATTAGCCGAAACTATTTGATGGGACTTAGGCTTGGCTTAGTTTGGTTTGGTTTGGTTAACCGTTTAGATTCCATTATTGTTGTATGATAATTTGATGAAAAGAGGCTATGGACTCATTAATTGGTGTTGCTTGTGTCATAGAGAGAGGAGACCTGTTGCTTCGTTGCAATGTTTATAAGGAACTATGAAACTTCTTGTTGACCATTTTAAGGTTCATTGGGTGATCTGAGCCTTTGTTATGAAGTTAATGGAGTGTTTGGGGTATGGGTGCAGATTGAAGAGAAAGAAAGCTTGGATGGTGGAACCATTTTGTATTATGTGATGCTTGTGGAGAGAAATGAATAGATGTACTTTGAAGACACAATGAGAGGCAAATGCTTAAGATGTGTTTATTGCATAACTTTCATTTTTTTAATCTTCTTTAGTTCTTGTATATTTTATAGAACTCAATTTTTTGTGTTGAGCTTGGCACAGTGAGATGTTTATAAGGAACTATGAAACTTCTTGTTGACCATTTTAAGGTTCATTGGGTGATGTGAGCCTTTGTTATGAAGTTAATGTAGTGTTTGGGGTATGGGTGCAGATTGAAGAGAAAAAAAGCTTGGATGGTGGAACCATTTTGTATTATGTGGTGCTTGTGGAGAGAAATGAATAGATGTATTTTATAGAACTCAATTTTATAGATGTATTTTGAAGACACAATGAGATGCAAATGCTTAAGATGTGTTTATTGCAATTTTTTGTGTCTCTCTCTCTCTCTCTCTCTCTTGTTGATCTTTGTATCTGGTCACAGTTCATTGATTGTGGCAAATGCTGGAGATTGCCGAGCAGTGCTCTGTCGCCGGGGTAAAGCAATTGAGATGTCAAGGGATCACAAACCAGGTTGTGCCTTAGAGAAGAAGCGCATTGAATCTTCTGGAGGGTATGTCTACGATGGTTACCTCAATGGACAACTAAACGTTGCTCGTGCTTTAGGGGACTGGCACATGGAAGGATTAAAGGGTAGTAGTAGTGGCGGCCCACTTAGTGCAGAGCCTGAATTTATGAGGGCAAGACTAACAGAAGAGGATGAATTCCTTATCATTGGCTGTGATGGAATCTGGGATGTGTTTATGAGCCAAAATGCCGTAGATTTTGCTCGACGAAGGCTTCAGGAACACAATGACCCAGTCATATGTAGCAAGGACCTGGTTGATGAGGCTTTGAAGAGGAAGAGTGGCGACAATTTGGCTGTTGTCGTGGTGTGTTTCAAGCGCCAACCTCCTCCTAACTTGGTTGTTCCCCGTTCAAGAGTGCACAGGAGCATTTCTGCTGAGGGTTTGAAAGAATTACAGAGCTGCTTGGATAGTGTGGAAACTTGAGATGGTGACGAATGTTTTTTTTTTTTCCTAAGAATTCCAAATTGTACTTTAGATGTTAGGAGAGAACCATTGTCTAACTGTAACATATGCGGCTGCTACACATTTCAATGTTTTGTTTGACTTTGATTTATTGTATTACAGTTTAATTTTTTTCCTTTTGAGATTTTAGTTGTTGACACTGTCGTACCTGATGATGTTGTTTTCCTCGACTTTGATTTATCTTATTCCAAAATGTCAGAATTATTGATACCATACCATTGTACTTGATGTTGTTTTCTTGATGTTCTGAATTAAAATCTTGTGCATGAACAGGCTAAATTTTATTGGTGTGTCTTCAGGGGTTATTTATTTTAGGGCTAATTTTTATAGTGAAGGGTGGGTCACTGCTGTCATGGCAAGTATTGTTTGCTAATTTTTTACTCAAAAGCATTACAATGTTATACAGACACAATGAGAGTTTACAAGAAAAAGATTATATATTTTTATTTGTAACAGATATGAATATAAATAAATTTAGGACACATACGAGTCATCGATGTGTATGACTGTAACTTTTTTTCTCTCTCCACATTTTCTCGCTCCACATTTTCTCTCTTTGTTTCCAATGTTTTACAATTTATTCTTATTCACAGATGTGTCTGATGAGTTGCTCAATATGTTATTTTAGTGGGTTTTATTCCAAATCTCAAAACTTTATTATTGCAAGTCATATCTGCATGTAAAAGTAGTTTATGAAATCTGTATATTTGTGTAGCTTTTCCTTTTTGAAATATCATTGCTCGGATGTGGTCTGTGTCTTTTCTTTAGTCAGTGGAGAGTTTTTTGAGCTTTTGGTGTTTTGATTTATTGTCCCTTAGAATTGCTCTACTTTTTCAGCTCTTGCATTGCATTTTGCTTAACTTGTGGTGTTCTGATTGCATTCTTTGATTCACAAGAAATGAGTAAGACATGTTTGATTCAAAAATCAAAAGCCCAAGTTTACTTGTTCTAATTCATCATCAGTATTTTTTTTTCTCATTCTATTCATGACAATCCAAAATCATGTATCAGAAAATCGCTATGAAAAATGTTTTAGGGCCTAAATCAGTTAATGTCGGCCTTCCTACACGCACTTGCCCGCCAGAATGTCTACTTGGTTCAGGACGGAGCCAAGCTGATACATACGATAGGCAAAGTTTCAAGGGTAGAGTAGACCTTTTACATTGAACCATTTCTAATAGGAAGACCATTATATAGTTCACTCACCCAAAAGAGAAGCCATGGAACATAAAATTTGAAGAAACTTCGAGGACACTATCAAGTTGAGAAAGATAGACTGATTGGAATTTCTCTTTTTATATTGCCTCTCTCTATTAACTTCATTACCACTCATATATGGGGTACATTATATGGACTCAAGTCTCTAGCACACTTGCACAAACTCATTACATAACAGAAAACAATTAAAAAAAGCCCTAAAAGTAAAAGAAGCAAAAAAGCACCGGAAAAGGAAACAAAAACAAAAATCCTTCCATAATATACATGAAACATGGACAACAACATTGACACTAGACTTTTATCTTCAAATGTCGAAAATTATGATATTTTCATCTTTTTTGAAAGTTGAATGTCCTGATTGAATAGGCAAAGATGAACCCAAAGAGCACATCTATTCCAACTATAATGATCGCAACATATCCAACAAAGTCGTATCTAAAGCCGAAGTAACTTTTCATGAAATCTTCCACTGTTTCGCCTGTGTCAAGCCTGGTCTTTATGTCTCCAAACTGTGAAGCAACTAATCCATACATAGTCCAAGACACAGGGCAAATGTAATAATACCATCTCCACCACACCGGAATCCTCTGCCATACAAAGAAAAAAAGAAAACCCAAAAAGTTCTCATCAGTCGTGAGTTATGATCTCATTATGTATGAAAATATATAAGAATTGATCACTAGTACTTACCGTCTTTGGAATGACAAATCCAGAGAAAATGTTCCAAATTAGGCAGAAGGCAGATGAAACTATGGCAGCGATGTGTTCGTTGGGAGTGACAGCTGTTGTCATCATTCCATAGAATGTGAAGTATAATAAGGTGAAGTACATGAAGAATAGATACCAAAAGAACTTGGCAGCTGTCCAGTCAAATCCAATCATGGAATAAACTATCACTCCATATATGATAGTTTGAACCAAAACGTATGGGATTTCGATAACAACCTGCCCAAAAAAATATATATATTTGTACTTTCAGCTTGGAATGAGCATGAAGAAATTAATGACACTTCTTTATTTTTTGAGTTGTTTTGGTTGATCAATAGCTCAAGATCTTTGGTCTCTACTCAGACCTGATGAAATATTTTTTTAGAAGTTTTAATTGTTAGTTCTATTTCTCAAATTATATTTTCACAATAATTTGCACTCTTCAGCCTTTGGTGATCCCTGAATGCCCTAGTTTTTCTTAAAGAAAGGCCACATCAATAACTCGATGTATGTTGTCATCATGACCTTCCATAAACGAAACAAGTAATTTACCTGTCCAAAGGCATATGGCAAAGCTGAATACATGCCAGCAGCTCTTTCTCTGTAAAAAACTGTTCTCTCTATCGCAACAACTGGCTGCACTGATGTGGCATTTTGCACACCAATAAATAGTATAGCAGCATACATAGAACCCATTGCATTGAAGAAATCTTGTTTCCTTTCCCTGCAAATCCCATAAAAATTGGACTGACTAAAAGATGAGAAGAAGAAAAAAAACTATAAAAATGCCAAGCATTAGAGCTACCTTTTGGAGCCAAGATCCCAGAATATTGTACCAAACATTAGGGCTATGAAGGTGGTAAACATGAGTCTCACTGCATTGTATGACGGGTTTCGCCAATATGACCAATGTTGTTTCCATAGACAAGCCATGCATTGTGTGTAGAAAGTTTGTGAGTATTTAGTAGGGAATTGTAGTTCTTTCCAGCCTGGAGCTGGTACACTATAGTCCTTGATCAAATCTTTGTTTCTCCTGATTCATTTAAGATTATTAGTTGCTAAAATCTGAAATCTATTATATATTTATTTTAATTTCACTGCCTTCAATGTCTTGAGAATTTTGAACTCTGATGAAACGGGTATTTCTTGAGAGTGTGTTATGACCCTACCTGTATAGTTCTGAGTTCCTGTACACCTCAGCAAAGTTAATCCCAAGAGTGCTTTCTTGTGCTGGTGAAGTTACCTCTAACATCCACGTTGCCGGATTATAACCATCTTTAATTTTACTAATTCCATTGATTCCCTCAAAGTACGTGATGAGATGGGAAGAATGGCGACCTAATGGACCGACATATATTTCTTCGCCTCCTCTTTTCAAAAGAAGCAGCTGCAGTTTGAAAATAATATATGCTCAGCTTTATTACAAAAATTAGAAATTAAAATGAATAATGGCTTCTTAATCTAGAGAAAGATCATCCACCTCATCGAAAGAATCAAATATATCAATGCTTGGCTGATGGATTGTGCACACCACAGTTCGTCCTGTGTCTACTGTGTTTCTCACCGTTCTCATCACTATTGCTGCAGCCCTGGCATCAAGTCCTGAGGTTGGTTCATCCATGAATATTATGGATGGGTTGGCTACGAGCTCAACTGCAACTGTAAGCCTCTTGCGCTGTTCAGTTGAAAGACCATTCACACCAGGCAACCCAATAAGCGCTTCCCATAGTGGGGTTAGCTCCACAAGTTCCATGATCTCATCAACGAACATCTGCAATTCATCATTCATGTTTACTTTCAATGATTCAGGAAGCCTAATTAAGGTTGTATTTGGATCAAGGATTTGAGTTGGGATTTGTGGAGGGAAAGGAAAAAGGAAGGGAAAAGTGAAAAAAAAAAATTAGCTTCTATTTCATTTACTTTTCTATTTTCTTTTCCTTTCCCTCCTCAAATCCTTGATCCAAACATAACCTATGCGTTGGAACTCAAATTCTAAGATTTGGACCTTTCTGGTTGCATGATCGACTTCAGCGGGCAACCGGAGCCATGCAGAATATTGTAAGGACTCATAGACTGTGACATGAGGAGAGTGAATATCAGTTTGTTCACAATATCCTGCTATCCGAGCAAATGTTTCTTGCTTTTTCGGGTACCCGGAGATTGTGATCCTTCCTTCAACATATCCACCAGTTTTTCTACCAGCCAAAACGTCCATCAGGGTTGTCTTGCCAGCTCCACTGACACCCATGAGAGCTGTAAGAACTCCCGGTCGAAAAGCACCCGTTACTCCTTTCAGAAGTTCTAATCGTTCTTCAGGTATACCTTGATCTTTCATTTCCTACAAGTAAATAAAAATTTTAGCATATCCAAGCTATATTTTGGTGTCAAGAGCATAACTTTTGAACGAGCTCAAAATCCTTTCAAATTTGTTAGTCTCATTTAAACGGCAGAGAAAATAATATGAAATTCAGAAATTTACAGAAGTATGTCATCTTAACCTGTGGCATATCTACTGCATATCTGATGTCATCGAATGTGATGGAAAGGGGTTCAAAAGGTAGAACCATTCCTCTCTCTCTTTTCTGGTCAGCTTCGGTAATGCTTCCCACTCTTGATGACATTGACCGGGATGATACACTTCTTTGCACTTCATTTCCTTTTCCTGCACAATATTTGATTGAATATTTCATCACTTGAAACATGTAAATCAGAATATTAAAAAAAAAAAACCAAAAGAGTGCTTATTCCTACCAGAAGAGTTCTTTATTTTTGATGTCAACTCAGTTAACCCTCCTTTTTTGCTTGCAGATCTCTCAGCCAAGGTTTCTTCAGATAGAATTGCCTGAGGCTTGCCAAATGCTGCATCAAACCAACCCATTTATTAGTCCATGTTGAATTCCAGGTAACCCTGCTTAAAATTTACAGTAGCTCTATATGCACAGAAACAAATCATGGAATGGACCACCAAACACTTTCTGTCATCGATTCGACTTGTTTCTGTGCAAGTATCTTTTTCCTAAAATTTATGTTAGTGTTTAAGCTTGAAGTTATAACATTCACAATGACCATACTGGTTACTTACGGTTAAGATAGGCTAGAGCCAGAGTGAAAAGGAAATTGAATATGAAAAAGTATCCGACTGTAACTCCTACTCCGATCCAATACCAGTGCGCTTCTAGAAAAAGCCCACGAGCCTTCAAAACTTGTAGTCCTAGTGTCTCTGTAGAATTAGGAGGAATCTGCGAACAAATCTTTCCTTTAGATGATATAACTCACTTTGGCTTCTTGTTTCTTCCTTTCATTCTCTTTTTTCTTTTTCTTTTTTTTTTCCTTGTCCCTTTAGTTTGAAATCATAAAAATTGATGCTTACATGTCTCCAACTCTTGCCAAGAAATTCGTTCACTGCTAAAGCATTTTGCCCGTACATCATAGGGGAGACCCAATAACCCCATATCCACCATTTCTTTACCTCATCTGCAAGCAAACAAAATAGTTCTTACAGTCAAATTCAACTCACATAAACAAGAACACTTCCTTTCTTTCTTCTTTTTTAATTTTTTTTGTGTGTGTGTGTGTGCGTGCACGTGTGTGTGCATGCACGTGTGTGTTCTATTCCGTCTGCTCTTTATTTATTTATTTTTTACCTTGTGACAAGATAAATCCGCCCAAGACAAGAACTGCAAGTAATGCAAATGATCCAAATGTGTTTGCCACAATGATGTTCCTTCCTATTGCCCCCATGAATCGGAACAGCCCAGAAGACATTGCGTTAATGCATAGGAGTAGAAAGTATTGTCTGAAAAACCTGCATTGAGAATATTCATCTGATCATGATTTTTTATTTTATTTTTATAACCCAATTTATAGAGCTTACTTATTCATTACCTTCCAACATCTGGATCGAAGCCTATGACATAGTAAGTGAGGAAAACCCATATACCAACTTCTACAACTGTGATTGGCAACTTGAGGATCCATGTTGGTAAAGAGTATGCCCAAGCAGGGAAGAAGAGAAAGTCTCTTTGCTTGTAAAAGACGGGAAGTTTCATGATGCTCAAGGTAATTTCCGAGTACCCATTAAACATAATCATAATGAGAACGAAGAACAGGGCACCCATGAAAATCCCTCCATCGTCTAAATTGTTTCTGGGCATCCCAGTTCTTAGAAACACCGTCATTGTTATAAATGCCATAATAATAAGCTGAAACAGAGATTTATGCAACCATTAGTTTGATAAATTTTTTAATTTTTTCATATAAAATGTATGTAAGTTTTAATTATTTGACATGTCACTCACTTGCACCATTTTGAATATGAAGACAAATGAGTTCCTCTTCATGAGCAAGTATTCTCTCGACGTGCAGGCATTTAAAAGTTCCTTCTTGTTGATGCCATACTTCTTAGTTGTCAAAGCGGCAGGGTGGCTCTTAGCTTTGTCAAATGTAACAGCAAGCTCGTCACCAAGTTTCCGGCCAACGTGGAATGACTGAAATGCTTCTGCAAATTCCTTGACGGTTACAAAATTATGAGGTTCGTCTTTGTTTGCCCAGTACTGAACCTGATCTTTCTTTGATGTCACCTATGGTTTCACAACAAAAACATTTGGGGATACAAAGTTACATTATGTTCTAAAAAGCTTAGCAACAAGAAACTGACACATCGTTTCTTTTGACAAAAAACATTTTCCAATGAAAACCATTTTCTACATAAATCTTTACAAGACCTCAATTCGGAAAACGTTTTTCACCTTTCAAAATAAAAAAATGTTTTTTGCCCAAATATGCTTGTTTTCGGTTGATAAAAAACATTTTCCTTTGCCTTTCATTTTTCCATTGTACCAAACACAAAAAAATGTAGACAATACTTTTTGCCCAAACAAACGGAGTGTGTATGCCGTTCAAAGCTATACATTACCTCTTGTAAAAAGTCAGCAACTCCTTTCCTCTCCGGACATTTGAAGCCCATGGACTCGAAGAATTCAAGCACACCTTCTCGGGGGCCTTGATATACAATTTGCCCATCTGAGAGGAGAATTAGGTCATCAAACAGATTGTAAGTTTCTGGTGCCGGTTGGAGGAGAGAGATGATCGCTGTCCCTTGAAGGATGTGGATGGAATGTCTGATTGAATTCACAATCTGGTAAGTTGTAGAACTGTCCAAACCAGTCGATATCTCATCCATGAAGAGTGCCCTAGCCGGTCCAACCAACATCTCCCCTGTATATCATATTTCATCCCAAAATTTTCGAATAATCAATTAAGAATAGTGACAAATTCAAGATTTTGTAATAATTTTTTTTGCATATTATGGAAAATGTGAAAATTTCCTTCTATATGAATACCATATGTCGCTTTGCGTATATTTTACCTGTCGTTAATCGCTTCTTCTGTCCACCAGAAATACCCCGCAGCATTTCATCACCCACCAAGGTATCCGCACAAACCTCCAGACCCAAAATCTGTAAATTTGAAAAATAAAAAAATTATTTAAATCATATTTTCATGAATATTTGTCAAAAACATTTTCATTATTCGCTTCGATGAATTTCAAGTCGGTACCTTAAGAACATAATCTGTGACCACACTAGCCTCCTGCCCTTCTAGTAATGCAGCCTGTATGATTTAGTGGAATTAAGACATTACCAAACGAAGCGCTAAAGCAATTCAAAAAAATTAAATTTGCTCGATTATGCTTTTTGGCATGAAAATTTTATTGCTACCTTCATGTAAATATCAATATCTGGATCAGGCTTAATGTTTGCTTGCTTTTCTCTCCTTGACAACTCTGCTAATATTTCTGCAAATTTTTGAAAAAATATGATTAATTCCCAGAATTAAGTTCTAGTACAATTAAATCAAGTTTGAATCTAACTCACCACAATAAGGTCCAACCCCTTGACATCTAGCCGAGAATGCTAATGTTTCTCTAACAGTCAATTCTCCTAAATGAAGATCATACTGACTGATATAAGCCGATGTTCTCTGTGGAACAAACTCATCCATTCCATGACCATTGTAAGTTACTTTTCCTGAAACCTAGTAGTTACATAAGATTTATGTAAGATCAAAAGATGAAACAAATTCCTCAGAACTTGGTTGAAAAATAGTAGTGTCTTTGCTTTTACTTTTAGATCTGAATCAAGCTTTCCAGCCAAACCAAGCAGCAATGTGGTTTTCCCAGAACTTGGAGGACCTAAAAGCAATGTCATTCTGCCAAAAAAAAAAAAAAAAATTATCAAAGAAATGATAATTGGGATGTTAGGAGAGTTTATGTTAGACAATTTTAATTTATGAAAATAATACTGCTAACTATCAAACACAAAATTTAAAAATGAATTTTCTTAAAACTTGGAATGTTCAACAACACATACTTGAACCTGTAAGGGCATTTCCAATACTTTTTCTCAAATCGTGACTCAAATTTAAATTTGATTAAAAGGCACTCGAAGTCAATCTCTTTTCACACTTGGACTAAAACCGGTATCAAATTGAGTTTTACCCAATTGAAAGGGACCATTTTACAAACTCAAATTGCCTACGGCTACATTTATTGATATGAAAATCCTTACCCAAATGAAAGGAGACCTAAAGTTTTTTTTCTTCTCTCTATTTTGGTTTTTCATGTTTCAAGTTAAAATTAGACAAAAAAATGTCACATGACATGAAATATATTATTATTTTTAACCTCTCTGATTCAAAACTTAAATCGAAATATAATAATATATTTTTTAATGTCACATGGCAACCAACTTGATATTTTCTATCTAATTTTGGATAGAAGTTAACTTCATGAGTAATTTGAGAAAAACTTGAAGCATGAATGACCAAAGTAGAAGAAAAAAAAACTTAGGGTCAAACTAAAAAATAGTTAAACATAAGGGGGCAAAGTGTAATTTCCCCTTTTATAATCCATTGCTAAAACTCAAACAAACTGCCTTTCTCACCTTCCAGGCTTGATGATTCCATTGACATCATGAAGGATTGGTAATGGTTTCTTTCTACTTGGAAGAATATGGAGGCAATTTAAGAACCCCTGGAGAGAGAGATTGCAGGGTCAGTTGAATTTAGAGATGAAATATGGAAGCAAAATTGAAGTTGATGCATGTGAAATTGAAAAATATATTATGACATTAAAAATAAAAATAAAAAAGGAAAATTTGTACCTCAAGCATATTGACAGAGAAGTTGAAGATGGTAGGCAATGCTCTACTGCCAACATAAGCTTCTGCATCAACTGTTAAATGCTCAAACCTGACTTCAATTGTTGGAAGTTCTAGCCCAACTCTGCATCATCATTTTCAAAAACAAAAACAAAACATATTTAGAACATACTTCAACCAAAAAAAGACAGTAAAGAACAGAAATTTCAAATACCCAGATCAGTTTTCAAGTTGTTAAGGTGCAAAATTTGATTGTTTGTGTTTTCATTTTTTCAGAAAATAAATAAATAAATAAAATTGGCAAACTGTTTCTCAAAACTATTTTCGGGAAAAAATTTAGCTCACTTTTAGGAAACAACAAAAATTTTGAAGACTATAAGCACAAACATGAAAATGATGATTGTTTTTTAAACTTTTATTGTAAAAATGAGAACAAAACAAAAATATTTCAACCAAAAGAAGACAATTTAAAAGTAATGAACAGAGATTTCAAATATCCAAACCAATTTACAAGCTTAAGGTGCAAAATTTGGATTGTTTGGTTGTGTTTTTTCATTTTCTTTTTTCTTTTTTCCGCTTTCATTTTTCGAAAACAATATAAAACTTAAGATAAATTACATTCACCTCCACTGAAATTTGAAAAATTATAATTAGCTCCACACTTTTACATAATTATACTTGTCTCCCTCGAAGTTTTAATTCACATTTTATATATATGTTTTCATCGGTAATTTGTGAGTCATGTAGATAAAATTTTGATATTGTTATATCTTTTCGATTAAAATGTATATTTAATTGGTTTATTTCAATATCCATTCATCATCTGTAATAATTTTAATTAATTTAACTTTATTGATAGAGAAGTCAGTATAATTATGACAAATCTCAGGGAAGTGAGTGCAATTTACCTTCAAACTTATTTGACTAACCGTACACAAATTTGTGAAAACAACCCCACTTATTAAAAAACATCGAAAAGTTATCTTCAAAAAATATGTTCGCGCAAACATGAAAACTATAGATGTTTCCAAACTTTGTATTGTTAAAAAACAAAAACAGTAAAAAGAAAACGAAAACACAATCATATTTTTCAGTTGAGATTACCGGTCAATGCGGCCCTTGAGCTTCAACAAGAACTTCTCATTGTCTTCCTCTGCAATCTTCAACAATCTCTCTAACAAATTCTTTTTCTCCAAAAACCCGAGGTCGTTGACATCGATTTCTCTCGCTTTACCCTCTTCATCGGTCAATAGACCTCTCGTTATCCGCAAATACGTAGGCAGCTTTTCAATGGCAGCCCATTTAAGTGCTTCTTCATCATCTTCTTCTCGGGAAGACTTTGAAAAAACTTCCCTTGCACTGTTCCTCCATATGTTTGAGCTGCTTATCCTTGCACTAGTCACTCCAAATATCTCACCAGTATCCATTATCACTCGACAAAACTACAGAAACCTTTCAATGAAGACCCACAAAAGTTTTATCAAGGCTTCATGCTAAGGAACTCTTAAAGTCCTCAAGTTTTATAGCTTGACGGAAAGAAAAAGAAAATGACTGAGTGCACAAGACTCCTGTTAGAACGAGGTTTTAATTTAGTTTTGGGAAAAAACTGTTTCCATAACTCAGATTCGTGTTGTTTTGTCAATTTTGTTAACGACAAGCCTTACTATTGAGTTAAACTGCTTTTTTTTTTTTTTTTTTTTTTTTTTCTATTAATGGAGACAAAGAGGGAAAATGTTGGGGTTTTTGGAAGGACCTTGATATCTTCCTTAGAGGAATCTGATATGAGAGAGAAAAAAGTATGTGTGAGTGTGTATACATAGCATTTTGATGTACAAAATGGGAGGGTCAACTTCATAAGTATATTTTATTATTGGGGTGTTGATGAGGTAAGTGTCGACGTAATGGTAGTTCATAGAAACCAATTGAATAATTGCATCAAATAATTTGGAATGGGCAGTTCATGGAGAGTTCATGAAAATCCTCTTTGGATCCCAACTGGTTTTTTGAAAATATTTTGAGCATTTTTGTTTCATTTTCAAGTTTTTTGTTGTTGTTGTTGGTATATTTAGAGTGAAAAATATAATAGAAAGTAAATTTAAACGAAAATGTATTTTTCTTAGTGCATGCACATTTGGTTAAAATAATTTTTTTTGTGTGAAAGTTGTAATAGTCAGTTACTTTACTTTTTCAAGAAAATATATTTTCTTTTATTTTCTACAAGAAACTTAAATACATTATCATGTTTTGAACCAAAAAAAAAATTTATATATATATATATATTTGTATTTTTCACCATTCTTATAATAAACAAATGTGGAAAAAAAATTTCTTCTCTTTCTTGCACTTTCTACCAATTTCATCTTAAGTAAACTCAATCTAAGCAAAATGTAATTGCATGAAAATAATCTCTTTGTAATTGCATACACCTTTAAAACTATGAGATGGTTCATTGCTAACTTCATATAGTGTTTAAACAAATTAGCATGGGTTCGTTGCTCCATTGCCACATGATTGTCATGAGTTCAAATTATGAAAAATAACTTCTTTGTATACGTATGCAAAATTATATATATTTAATTTTACTTAAATTTTGCAATGATACGAGTCTCATGTACTGAAATTATCTTTTTAAACTTAGGCAATTCATTGCCCATTTGATATACTATTTAACCAAATCTACATTAAAAAATGAAATATTCCTAAAAAATAACCAAAAACAAAAAGAAAGGAAAACAGCATTGGGAAAGAAAACTCATCTTTGCTGTACTTTCCATTACATAAGGTGAGGATTAATTAATAAAAGCTGTACTGTTCTCAAATTATCAATTCCCAGGGTGTTTGGCCTTTGTGTATCCAATGCATTATTTTTCTAATCAATTGGGATTTGCTCTGTGCAAAAGATCATATATTTTATTGAGTCCCAAGACTTAAACTTAAACATGAAAAATTAATTGGCGATGAGGCATGTCCAACACATTTAATGTGGTATTTAGGTTGAAATTTGGTCTCATAATTTAATCAACACGAAGATTAACTGGTGAAGAGCCACATGCGATGTGTGTAATGTGGTATTAGATGGAAAATTTAGTTCCTAATTTGTATTAAAGCTTACAAAATCTTGATTTCCAAAGAGGGAATTCTTGAAAAAGTATAGTAGCTTTATCCTTGAAATTGGCCAGCTGTCATCTTTAGTTGATAGCTAGAAATCATCCATCCTTGACAAGTAGGGGTGAAATGGACATTTATAAGCTCTATTTGGTGCAAATTATGGGGTTGTTTATAGTTTTTTATTTTATTTTATTTTTAATTTAATAAATTTGTGCCAAAGTGTTTGGTGCACTTTTTATTTATAAATTATTAGACAGAAATACCTTACTAGTATGTAGGTATAGAAGTTGTAAAGGGGGTCTTTTTGAAAAAGAAAATGCCGATCTATTTAGCTTTGTTCCAAGATATTCGACCAAAGGTTGAAAAACAAGAAAATAGTGACTTGAAATCTATTTTCTTTTCTTAATTTATCCCTATTGCAAAATTATTGTCGTAAAAAAACATATATATCCAATACACAAGACTCCCGCTTATAATAGAGCTCGAAAGAGATGGAAGTAACTATATCTCTATTTTGTAGAGATTTAATTCTCATAAATCCAAAAATCAGTTTAGAATTGTGAATCCTTTAACACATGATCTAATAGATATGAAATTGTAGAAAATAAAAGAATAAATGATCAATCACACAACACAGTTCACTCATAATTTACCAAGATAGTTTATAAGAGTTGCCTATCACTACAACAAATCAAGCTAGGGTTACAAATTATAACTGTGAGAAAAATAATAATGTATCATTTACAAACTCACACCACAAGATATGCCAAACACATGACTTGACTTATAATACTATCGGATTCCACGCTACCCAACAAAATCTACACAACATTGAGGTAGATAACAATACACCATCACGTCAACACGTCACCTCTAAATACTGAGCTTTACATAAATTAATTATTTTAGAACAGGGTTAAAAATTTTAGTTTTTTTTTAAAAAAAAAAAATGTCATAATCTATAAAAGTTGGAATATTACAGTCAATGTTGATAGATACAAAAAGCCTATATTATTCCAGAAATATGAAATAATAATTTGTCTTTTAGTGAGAGAGAATCCTAGTTCTCCCCCCATAAAGGATGATTTTCCAGCTTGCCAATCAAAACCTTTAGAGGATCAGTTGTGGTCTATTTTTTGGGACAATAATATACAGATAATCAAATTAGCAAACAAACAAAAATAAATAAAAATTAATTATTGTTAAGGGGTTCCCAAAGTCAATAGAAAAAAATGACAAGAACATACATAATGCGAATGTTTGGTGTTCTTTCTTCTTCAGCTGATTTCACTTTCCCTCATTTTCCTCCCTTTTCTTGGAAGGAAAATGGTGGGATACTCTTCTTGTTTTTGAGTTTGTATTTTTGTGCACAAAACTAATTCAAGTTAGGGTTAGGGCATATAATCACAGTCCATATGCCATTGATCTTATTTGTATCATGTTATTATCATATTATTTTGGATCTGTTTTAAACAATTTGAAACACTAACTCGATTTGTTTAACTGATAGTTTCAAGTATCTTGATATTAAAAAGTTAATAGTTCGAAATTTATTGAAAAATTCATTTTGTGTAGGATTTGGTTAACTAATTGAACTGATTTTGTATGGTAGAATATTATAATTTATATATCGTCATGGGACTATATATATAGGTTTTGGTGAGAGATGAATGAAGGAAAAAATAAAGATGTAAATGGTAAGAGAAAAGGGCACCGGGTAAGCGAGAGCTCAACTATTTTTTAGCATGAGTTTCGAATAGTAGTATGAGTTTTGAGTATTTTGATAATTTTACATGTATTTTTTATTTTATAATATATACATATATATATATTTCATGAATGTAGATGATTTGAGCCAAATCTCATAAATCTTTATGTGATTGTTTTTTTATTTAGTGTATACGTGATACTTTCGTTCACTTACGGAGATGTTAATAGGAAATGAGTTTAGCAAATGAATTTTTTTTTTTAAATTAATAGCAAAATGAACTTTTTTTAGTTAATAAATTAATTTTTTGGCCATAGTCAAAGGAAACCTAAATGCAAATATGATATGCATGAAAGGAACAACAAATATTGTTCTATTGTATATAGTAAATCCTTCAATCAAAGGCTTGATTAAATTAGAAAAAACATATCCAATTTAAAAAATACAAAAATAAAAATAAATGAATAGTGTGTGCATTTTGACATATGTATTGAGAGAAAATAGTACACTACATACAGTGAGATTAATATTTATATAACAATTAGATTAAATGAATTATTAAATTTGTGTTGTGAGATTAATCTTTTCTTTTTTTTTTTGTCACTTTTAAATTTGTGTGATGGATGAGTCATTTTTTATGTTATAATGTTGTGTTCGACTCATGTTATTCAAGAATCATACTTATTCTGACAAAATTAACAAAAGAAAATAAAATTTCTAACTATTCTCCTATATAATACTAAAATTACATGAATTATTAATTAAAAGATATTTATGACATCATTAAAAATTATTAGTCGAATTGATAATTTATTAATAAAATAAGTCATTTGTTATACAATTAAAAACTTCTAGGACGAGATGTAATTTTTAAAATTATAAGGGACAATATGTATTTTAAATAAGTTTCAAAAAATATATTTATAATTTATCCTTAATTTTTTGCTTTTTTAAAAAAAAAATTAAATGTAATTAAAGAAGACTAATTTGAAAGAAGGACAATGAAAAGTCTGAATTAGAACCTGACAAAAAGTGGATTAATCCGGAGAAGTTATTTGGTGGTTTCAAGGCATGACCACGTGATGTTTTAAGGATGTTGTGATTGATGAAAAATGTAAAATTTATAATTTTATATTAAGTAATTAGAAAATAATAGAGACATAATATATGATTGTGGAGGCCGAATAAAATCAATTAGGAAGAGGCCAAGACATTTGATCGACATCAGGTCAAATGCAATTCGGCCCTGACCAAGGGGCTCATGAAGCCGAACAAATGAATCGGCCATATAAGGAGCCAAATAGGAGCCAACACTTAACTGGAAGGCCGACTAAGTAACTACGTGCGAGATCAAGAGTGGGCCCGACCCTTAGGGCCAGAGGCAATATAAAAAAGGAGGAATGTCAGCCAGAGGAGGTGCGTGAGAATTTACAAGATAACTTGAGATAGAAATAAATTTGAAAGGATATTGACTTGTCCGCCGGAGTGTTAATTCCGGCACTCCCAACCGAAGTGTTTATCTCTTTTTCAGGTAACAATCAGAGGATCAAGAGTGTCTAACTGGATCCAAAAGTATTTCCAAACAACTTTATCACAATAATAATTAGTCGA